AATCTGAAGGCCACACGAAGTTTGGAGGTCTTTAGCTATTGACTGTGCAGACAGTTGGTAACTTCTGCTCTGTCACTTTACGTCGCCTACCACTTCATTGCTGATTTGCTGTTGTTCCCAGTTGCTTCCACTTTGTTATAATACCACTAACAGGTGACCGTGGAATATTTTAGTAGCAAGGAAATTTCACAGATGGACTTATTGCACAGGTGACAACCTATCACGGTACCATACATAAATTCACTGAGCTCCTGAGAGCAACCCATTCTTTCACATATGTTTGTAGAAGAAGTCTACATGCCTTGGTACTTGATTTTATACATCTAAATCCAATTATTTGGAGGAGTATCCCAAATTCTTTGGCAATATAGTGTATAATGAAATCCTAGGGTACACAGAACTCAGCTGGACCCTTTTACATTAACTTCCTCTCTATGGTCTTTTCCTTTCTATTCAAAGGTTAGCCCATACAACCTTGTTCCACTTTTGGTAGCTTTTCTGAAGGACAGGGGGCTTTGCTCCTGTTGTGTAGAAATTTCCCCCAATTGTCACTATGGACAGGGCTGTATGACTTTAGCTGATTTACTTATACCATCTGCTTAATTATTTGGTGTATACAACCATTATAATATGATGGCTGTTTAGTACCCAGTTTTTTTTTTTGATTTTTTTTTTTACATACCATGAGATGGCACCCTGTTGTTGCAGATGTAACTTAAACGTTATGTAATCTGTTGCACTTTATGTGAAGTCTTACATTTTTTTATTTCATGGCATAAAACAAACATAATAAAAATGTAAAGGTCAATTCCACCTTAGTTTCTTTCACCTATGTTTCAAGATACACCTATTTTTCAAGATACAAACAGTCACAATCCACAACCCCCACCCTCAAGCTGCTTTACCTCTTACCTCAACTGTGGATTTATTTTCCCTGCAGCATCAAGCATTTTAATATGGCCCACACATTATAGGTCTGTGAATTAAAGTTTCATCTGCTATTACAATAGAAGGACTCGTAGTTCTCAAAGTAGTACATGTGCTGTGACATCACCACACTCATAGTCCATTGTTTACTTCCTCCAGTTCAAAAACTGGACCTGGGCCTGGAGGAACAGTCATCAGGAGCCTGTAGATTGTACCCGATCATGCACTGATCGTGGATACAATGCATTGCAGGCTCCAATCAAAAATTGTAATAAATGCACATTTTTTTTTCATTATGGGTGCACTTTCTAATTTTTTTATTAAAAAAAAGTGTCTAAGCCTTTAGTCTTTCAAGGATTTAGTAAATAAATGACATCCAAACACTTCCCCCTTTCCCAACCAAATGTGCTTTTTTATTTACACAAAAATGTACACAAGAACTAAAATTTCAAATAAGTTTAGATGCAATATCAGCATGGCACTTAAAATAAGTTTCATTAAACATAAAAAAAAAAAGAATTTGGCTTTTTACGGACACAAGAAATCATCATTAAATATTGCTTGCTCACTATATTTTAGACAGACTGTGCTGTTAACGTTCATATTTTCTGCCACATTCTTTGCGCATAATACTTTGGTATAGCAACAGCTCATTTTAGGCCTCATTCACACTGGGCATTAGATGCGGGCAGAAAGTACAGGTGCACCATGCAGCCCTGCTGCTGGCAGCCTATAACAGTCTATGAGAGGCTGACAGCTGCTGCGCCTGGATGGTGCACTTAAGTGCACTAACATTTGGAGCAGTATGCAACTGGGGGTGAATGCCCACAACACAGACTACTTGCATTAGGGGGCATTCATCCCTGGGAGCACACTGCCGTAAGCATTAGTAGCACATGATGACCTGTCCAGCTTCAGCTAAACACCCAGTGTATACGAATCCTTATAGTGCATTATTTAAAGAAAATAAAACCACTGACTGTTCAACAGATCACCAATTTCGGTAGTATTGGCTCATTAAAGTTACTCCAGGCAGCTACTAAAAACACAGTTAGGTATATATTACAAAAACATTAAAAGTATTTATAAATGTGACCACTACCCATACTCATTTTTAATATCACCCTCTTTAATCTCTTGAACATCAGGCTTCACTCTTCTATAGAGGGGGCCAGCACTAGAATTCAAACAGCAAAACAGTGGTCTCAATATAACACTGGAAGTGTGCTGATTTGAAAGAACAAATTGATCATTGTGACTGCTTCTTCGGTGTCTAGTGAGTATGCTGACTGTGCATCCTGGAGCAAATATTCCTGCCAAACTGCATTTGAGGTTCAGAACCGGCTAACACTGTCTGGCAGCAGTGTCTGTATAACAAGACTGGCTAAAAAAGAATTACAAATATTTGGCAAGAAAAAAACAGTTCAAATATACAGTATATGCCTAAACTGTGTTTTCACTTTCTTGCCTGGAGCTCTTTAAATTGACCCATCTATAAATCGTACAAAGACCAACCAAGCAGCAAACACCAGCGGCCAATTGGAAATTGTCATTCATTTTAATGTTCATTATAAGATGCAGATGGCTAAAGTTTACGGTACAAAACAGTTTTCCTCATTAACAAGGTTCTGTGCACACTTGTGACAGGACTGCCTTGAGACTGTACTTGTGTTTGGGCATGCAAAACAAATTTGTTTCAGTTTTTAGGACATCGTGGAGATATAAATCCTTTGTTTTTATCATGTTTCTTGGGAACTTCAGTTGTCACATCTCTGCACACCTATGGCCATGACCAGATCTGGTACTCCTTGACTAATCAGTAATTTATTATTATGGAGAACAATGAGAAATGGGAATGCCCAGACGAGGATGGAAACCACTCCCCAGTGGACAACAACAAAGTTGGCCACTGATGGAGTCTTCAAGAAATCTAAAAAGGCAGATGGTGAACTAAAACATCTGTTTTTGGTTGGCCAACCTTTTAAAGAGACACTGTCACATTTCCCATTCAGAGCAACGTTGTGTGGAAAAAAAAAAAAAAAAAAAAAGAAGCATACTATGCCTCTTTCCACTACCATAATTATGTGACCTATGGTAACAGCACCAAAAAGGAAATGAGCAGCAAGCAGACCAGCTGCCAGAATGATACTGTACTTCAAGATTATCAAATTCCAGTGATCCACCAGGGAACAAATTGATTCTCTTTTAGTTGATCACTGGTTGTCAAATGGTGAAATACCAAATAATCAATAGTCCATAGGATACCACAATAACTAGTGCTGAATGTATAGCAGGGTATCTGAATGGGGTGACTGCATTTATGCTCCTAATATACAGCAATAGATTACTAAGACAGGTGCTGCGCAAATCAAAAAGATTCTCTTTTTATCTTAAATCTGTGATTGAAATGTGGCTGGAAAAAAAAAAAAAAATAATATATATATTCATTCATTTTAAAGCCAATGATTAAAATTGTAAAATCAAATTACTTTAAAGGGAGGGGGGGAGAAAAAAAAATCAAGTAGTTTCTAAAAAGAATAGGATGGTTTGGAATTTTAAGAACAGAATAAGGAAGATTTCCTAAAATAAAAAAAATGTTTCCTTTAAAGTTAAACTCCAGACAAAACTTTTTTTCTCCTTTTGATTTTGAATAAAAGGTAGGGAAGGTTTATGTTGAGTTTTTATTACCATCAGAAGGGCTCTTCGTGGAGGTTTCTCACTAATTCCTGTCCACCCGGAAAGAGAGGCAAAATCTTCAACTGGACACATACAGGAAGAGCTATTTTTTTTTTTTAACTTTAGCCTAAATTTAAACTAGTCTAAATTTTTATGACTGTAGCCTTCTGGACACTTTCCCTCGGTGACACTTTGTCTCAGGGACAGAAAGTAACGGTAAGGCGTCATACATACGGGTGCATCCTGAGCCTACATAATCACTTCCCTGGGACCTGCTTTAACAGCATGCAACCATCCACTGAAATAATTTAGAAGATGAAGCTGTATGTGGTTATGCGCCAGGGGACATGCAAAGAACTCAAAGGGAAGTATGCTTTGAACACAGAATGCATTAAGAGCATAAGTCCATGTGCATGTCTTACACAATCCCCAATACATAACCATGTACTGCCTCATCTTCAAAGGCACCTCAATGGGCCACTGTAAGCAATTAGGCAGTCGCTGTACAGCCGTGTGCATGAAACCAAAATCTCCCCCAAAACCCCCAAAACTCATGCTCACTCTATCCCAAATGAGCCGTGGCTCTAACAAACATTTAAACCAGCTGCTCATTGGGTGGCTACAAATTGCCTGTATGTCAAGTTTATCACCCGATGATCCCCCATACATACGAGATGATCTCATACAGAAAGAATGACTTGCTTCCCGTATGTTACTATTCATCAGTAGGGTTTTGGAGCAGCAAGAGATGAGTGAAGGTGGCTATGCAGCAAAGCTAAGATTTTAAAGGTTTGCTAAAGTCGCAGGTATTCTTTAATGGAAATGACTTACCTTTATTGTATTTTCCATTTCATACTGGACCGCGTCTGTTAATATAATTTAACTATTTCTATATTTGTCTATTTGTCTTTCTAAAAGTCTGTTAAAGAATTTACTAAAAAAAAAAAACATTTTGTAAAACTCTGTGCTACTAATGTCTTCTGGTACTGCACAGCTAGAATTTCTGGTGCATTTAATGTAAAACAGAACACAAATTATTTTTATTCTGGGATGGATGTATAAAACTGATGCCTAAATAAAATGGTTTCAGGTTGTAACCAGTCAGATGTTGGAATTCATTTTCTAACTTGATAAAAATTAAACTTGGAATGAAAATGGTAGATGTAGTACTAGCTGTACTGTTTTGCTCTAGTATTTCTAAACTGGCCACGTAGTGTAAAGTATAGGCATGAGAATGTATAAATCTGCAGATTACAGGGAACTGATTACATTAAAGCCAGTAAAAAGCCAGACCATGCAAATTGACATAACATATCAAATGATCCTTCTGTCACCAAATGATTGGCGTCGTTTTGGTTGTAGGTTTGTCATGAAGATGAATTTTCCATTGCTTTATCTTATAGTTTGACATTGTCCATACTTTTGGTAAGCACTTGTAAATAAGCTTCATGAACTGTATTGAGAAAACTGGAGTCATTCTAGAGCAAAAATAAAAGAGGCATATTAGAAAATCACATCACAGCACCTCAACATACAAAAACGCCAAAATCCGCATGTTCCTAACCCCAGAAACCACTAAACAGCTCATCCACTCCCTCATCATATCACGACTCGATTACTGAAACTCCCTCCTCACTGGCCTGCCTTGCCGCTGGCTATCCCCGCTTCAGTCGATCCTGAATACGGCAGCCAGACTCATTCACCTTTCCAACTGCTCCATCTCTGCCACCCCTCTCTGCCAATCCCTCCACTGGCTTCCGATTGCGCAATGGATCAAATTCAAAATCCTAACACTGATGTACAAAGCTGTCCACCATACTGCCCCGAACTACATCACTGACCTAATATCCAAGTACCACCCAACACGCACAATCCGCTCCTCACAAGACCTCCTTCTCTCTAGTTCCCTGGTCTCCTCCTCCCATGCCCACCTCTAGGACTTCTCCCATCCTCTGGAACTCCCTGCCCCAACCCATCAGATTATCACCTACTCTCCTCTCCTTTAGGCGCACCCTGAAAACCCATCTCTTCAGGGAAGCCTACCCCACCCCCTGCTAACTTGCCGACCTCCTCCACTCTTCCTACCACTCCATCCCCCACAGCTATCTCCTCCTGTGCCACCATTCCCTCCCTCCTAGATTGTAAGCTTGAAAGAGCAGGGCCCTCAATCCCCTCATGTTTTGCATTGTATTGTTATTGTTCTGTCACATGTTCTGTCCCCCTTTGTAATGTACAGCGCTGAGCGAACTATCGGCGCTTTATAAATATGTATAATAATAATAATAATTGATAGTCTCCATATCTGTTAGAATTTCATCTCATTTTGTTTTAGTGCGCAGGTTTTTCACCATACATTTTAAACCAGTATCAAAGCTTTTATTATTTGACATCTTCAGTGTGAGAATTGTATTCTAGTATTGTTCTAATAAAGAAGTCCATTTAAGGTACCACGCGCATCTTGCCGCTCTCTGCAAAAAGTGGCCAAGAGAACAACTGCCATTAATGTCAAAGCAAGATGCAAAGAGTGCACCATTATATAGCGTAGCAATTCATCCAATGCAAGACAAAAGTTTGGGTACCATTCACACACCATTTACAGTTGTGCTCAAACGTTTGCATACCCTGGCAGAAACAGTGACATTTTGACACCGATATTGAAAATATGACTTATCAATGCCAAAAAACTGTCCTTTAAGGATAGTGATCATATGAAGCCATTTATCATCACATAGTTGTGTGGCTGCTCTTTAAATCATAATAACGGAAATCACCCAAATGGCCATGATCAAAAGTTTACATAGCCTGGAATGTTTGGCCTCAGACACACAAGGTGAAACACACATGTTAAAATGGCAATTAAAGGTTAATTTCCAACATTTGTGGTTTTTAAATTGCAATTCATGTCAGTGTATAAATAGTCAATGGGTTTGTTAGCTCTCATGTGGATGCACTGAGCCATGGGGAGCAGAAAAGAATTGTCAAAAGACCTGTGTAGCAAAGTAAATGAACTTTATAAAGATGGAAAGAGGATATAAAAAGATAACCAAGGCCTTGAATATGCCAGTCAGTACTGTTTAATCACTGATTAAGAAGTAAAACATTGTCGGATCTCTTGACATTAAGGTCAGGTAGACCAAGAAAGATTGCAGCTGCAACTGCCAAAAAAACTGTTTGGGATTCAAAGAAAAAAAAAAACACAGGTAACCTCGAGAGAAATACAGGCTACTCATGAAAAAGACGGTGTGGTTGTTTGAAGGTGCACAATACGATACTTGAACAAAAATGAGCTGCATGGTCGAGTTACCAGAGAGGCCTTTACTGTGCACGAGAAATCTTGTGAAAATTGCCAGTATTTTCTGACAACATACTGCACTCATCTTGCCAACAATTTGCATTCTTCTGTACAAAAGCTGTGCATGGGACACTCTTGGACTTTCCAGCACGATAATGACCCTAGACACAAAGCCAAGTTAACTCTGCAGTGGTTACAGCAGAAAAAGGTGAAGGTTCTGAAGCAGCCATCACAGTCTCCTGACCTTAATATCATCAAGCCACTGTGAGGAGATCTCACAATCAGCAGTTCATCCAAGATGACCAAAGACTTTGCAGGATCTAAAGGCATTTTACCAAGACGTATGAGCAGCTATACCACCTGCCTGAATTCAGGGCCTCAGACAACTATTACAAAAGACTGCACACTATCATTGATGCTAAAGGGGGCAATACATAGTATTAAGGACTAAGGGTATGCAGACTTTTGAACAGGGGTCATTTCACTTTGCTTTTTACCACGTTTTGTTTTATGATTGTGCCATTCTTTTATAACCTACAGTTGAATATGAATTCCATAAAAAATAAAAGAAATACGTTTTGCCTGCTGACTCTTTGCTGCTGACTGTTTTCTTTAAAATGGTACTGTACGGTATATTACCAATTCTCCAAGGGTATGCAAACTTTTGAACACAACTGTAAATCCAAGCTACTTTTGTTAATGGCTAACATGGTACAATATTCTGCTGCTGTTTTAATTAAAGAGAAAATCAATGATCAAATTCACTCACATGGTAATAGTATCAGATCACTTATCTGTGGTTTAGAGATATTTTCCCATTATTCAGTCCAGAAATCCCCATGCCATAGTCAGCAGCAGGGTTAGTACCATAACCTGTCCAGGATGTTGGGATTGGTTGTCACACTATATAGAGGGCAATGTTTAGCAGTGCGGCTCAGCTATGTCCCCGCTCCCTTCTCACAGCTCCTGCCTATGAGACCAGGAAGAGGGAGCAGCAGTGCTGCAGATGGGACAACGCTGGATTGGTGGATCGTTGTCACAACAAGTAATAGAATGTTTTTAACCTTAATTTAGAGAATGCATTAAGGTAAAATATGTTTTGACTTTAGAACCACTTTAAAAGGTGCGCTAGCAATTACCACAAAGATTCAATCTAGGAATTTGGCACTAATGGGCTAACTCACTTACTTGCTCTTATACCACAATTCTAAAATCCAGAAATCCCTATCCATATAAGAAACATTATTTAAAATAGTCACAAGATAATAATAGTGCACTAAAGAGTATCAGGTAAAATATCAGGAACTGTGAACAAAATCTACCTTCTCTCGGCTACTAGACTCCACGCTCTGCATTGTAGGACAGTGGTCCTGCTAAGTCAATCCCAGCATGCCACACACAATTCATCACTAATACCCAACATTGGCTGCAGCATGAGGGTCCATAGACTAGATACTGGGATTCTCTCTGGGCCACGGATAAGTGATCATATACTGTTCCCTTGTGAGTGCTTATGACTGATTTTATCTTGACAAAGTAATTTCTACACTATGTTGGTGAATTCTATGCTACTTCCATCTTGCTTTCAAAATGGAGGGATGACCTCACCATGTCCATTGCCTACATCACGGTTTTTCTTTGCTTTTTATCTTAGTACACACTTTACCAGGTTTTTTTTTTTTTTTTTTTTTTTTAACTACTGGCTCTAAACAGGAGCCTTTACCAGGTTCTTTTACAAAGCCTCCCCAGGGACCAATAAAAGAGCCCAGAATGTAGGGATAAGTTAGTGAAGGATAAAAAATTGAAACCTAAAATCAAGATTTGAATATTATTTTAGCACCCTATATTATGGATCTGTTGATGACTTTAACATGCAAATTTTCACACATGATAGCCTCTGTTTTTACCAATTTTCACAAAATTATCAGTGCTTCTATGTCCTGTTGTAGAAATTTTCCTTCACTTCCTGTTCTAGAGATGCAACCAGAAGTGAGAGCACCAGCCTCGTGCATTACCTAGGATGATAGCTTTATTAAATCCAAAGTTAAAATATACTCACAAACAATGTGGTAACAAAGGCATAGCAAATACAAACAATGTATATTATATAGGGCGTGCTTGTTAGAGCCCAACCTCTGTTGCTGTAGGATAAAGGTACCAGATTTTGATACACAGACACATCCTAGGTCTTATTTCCTGATCCTATAGACAGAGCTGCACTGGACGGCAGGATGTCTCACCTGGATCTTATTACACCAGATGATGAGTCTTTTTAACTATTTATCTTGTAAGTGCAATTTATCTATTGTTCACTAATAAATTGTCTATACTGCACTTAGAGGCTCCTTCCTCCTTTTTCGTATCAAATACATAGCAACCAATACACAGGATCAGCTCCCTGAGGGCTCTGAGGAAGAGGAGACTGCTCAACGAAACGCGTCAGCGACAGGAGGGTCCTCACGAGATTGAGTGCTGATCCTGTGTATTGATTGATTTGTATTTGATATGCCTTTGTTACCACAGTGTTTGTGGGTATATTTTGACTTTGGATTTAATAAAGCGATCATCCTAGGTAATGCACGAGGCTGGTGCGCCCTCTTTTCCTTGTTTTTCAGCTATTGTCTGTGGGTTCCTCAACCGACCCTTACAGGGCAGCAAGGCCTGTGCTGGTACTGGACACATGAAGGACCTGATACAGTTCCATTCTAGTATACCACTCTTGAGCACAGGGGACTATATATTTTTAATGGTCATAATGATATTAGGACAACTAGGAGAGGGTAAATCTACCTAACCAGTACAAAGCAATAAAATTGACAGGGGTTCTCATCCATACCTGCACTATCAAAAAAGCCTAAAAACAAGTTTTGGTTTTACATATGTCTTATTTTACCTTCAGAAGATGTAGAAGGGTTTCCTGGAGCTGAGCACGGCTAAGGGCAGGGCAGGGTCTTGTCCGTTCCACACCGTGATGCATCAGGGGTGGAGTCCCTGTCCGATCAGTTTGTCCAGTGTGCTTAGGAGGAGGTTGCTGGAACACACTGGGAGACCACAGGACAGATGTGACTTCAGTACCTGTATGTGCGGCATACTGCGGAGCCTGAAAAACATGTAAATAAATGTAATATTTAAACCACTAGACCTCCAGAAGGTTTTACCCCCTTCATGATCAGGGCATTTTTTGCTATTCAGCACTGTGCTGCTTGAACTCGCAATTGCAAAATCATAGAACACTGTACCAACTAAATTTATATCTTTTATTCACACAAATACTGCTTTCTTTTGTTGGTATTTGATCGTAATTCTGTTTACTTCATAAATGAAAAAAAGACCGAAAAGTTTGAAAAAAACAACTATATTTTATACTTTTGGTTATAAAACATATCTAGTAAACAAAATATTAAAAATATCAAAATCTCATAAATTTAGGCCGAAATGTATTTTGCTACATATCTTTTGGTATAAAAAAAATCCAAATAATATATTAATTTGTGTTAAAGTTATAGCGTTTACAAACTATGGTATATATACTGGAATTTATGCAGCTATCAACACTATACATGTAATGGTTATGATCAGAAACTTATACTGTGACTGTGATAATGTGGGGGGCAATCCTGCACTAGCAGACACTGGCATGGATATTGCTAGTGACACTAATATAATAATAATAATACTGTACACTGTACTAATGACACCTGCTGGGAAGGGGTTAACATCAAGGGGCAATGAATGAGTTGACTGTGTGCCTAACAAGTGTAATATGTGTAATGTGTGCTGCGTTTGCTCACAGATCTGGCTGTTTTTTTTCTCCCTGCTTTTCATGGAGAACAGCCAGATCGCTGTCCTGTTTACACAGAACTTTGTGCTGTGATTGGACACAGCTGATTAGCAGATTTCAGCCTAAATCAATGCCTGAAACCTGCTGACAAACTTGTGCTGTGTCCAACCACAGCAAAGGACAGCAGGGGGTGCATGCACGCACGTCTGAAAACCCAGAAGCAGGAGGTGAGGTACATGCACGTTGCCTAGTCTGCATCTGCTGCCTGCACATAGTAGATGTACTGTGAGCAGGCAGCAATCGGTTAAATAAAAAGCCACAGAAAACTGGCTCAGAGAAACATATTTGAAAAAAATATGCAATTGTAAAGCTCATTTGTAAAAGGCAAATGCAAATAAAATGTAGCACGACCAGCCTCTTTTGCAGATCATCAATTGTATTCCAAACTATGAATACAAGGATAAATATCTGAACTGTATTTGGCTTTTCACTACAACACCCCCCTCTCCCCTACATCCTTTCCCAATAATAAAAAAAAGTTCTGTGTAAACAGGACGGTGATCTGGCTGTTTCTTCTCCATGAAAAGCAGAGAGATAAAAAACCTGCCAGATCTGTGAGCAAACGCAGCACACATTACACATATTACACTTGTTAGGCACACAGTCAACTCATTCATTGCCCCTTGATGTTAACCCCTTCCCAGCAGGTGTCATCAGTACAGTGTACAGTATTATATTAGTGTCACTAGCAATATCCATGTCAGTGTCCATCTCAGCCAGTGTCTGCTAGTGCAGATTGCCCCCCACATTATCACAGTCACAGTATAGGTTTCTGATCATAGCCATTACATGTATAGTGTTGATAGCTGCATAAATTCCAGTATATATACCATAGTTTGTAAACGCTATAACTTTAACACAAATTAATATATTATTTGGATTTTTTTATACCAAAAGATATGTAGCAAAATACATTTTGGCCTAAATTTATGAAGAAATTTTGATATTTTTAATATTTTGTTTATTAGATATGTTTTATAACCAAAAGTATAAAATATAGTTTTTTTTCAAAATTACATCCTTTCCCAATAACGCAGATAGTATAAGAGGAATAAGGATCCTAAAGCTGGCCATACACTAGTAGAGTTTAGTACAAACATTTGTATCACAATTCTCATTTGAACATAGAACATTCTTTCTTGCCTTCGAGTCAACTAATCTTGTTCAAAAACCCCTAAAAATGTCATCCCGACCTGCTATTTAAATGGAATCTTCAGTCTCATTCAGACAACAGATTAGGATATAGCCACTGACAAATGCGTGTGCATCCACTGCAGGCAGCCCAATAGAAGTGGACACACAAGCAGTGCTGGGATGGACACAACTGCATGTCAAAGTTTGACAGGGGGCAGAAGCAGGTGCACAGATCCGAAAACAAAGCCTCTGCCAGCAGCTCTGCAGGAAGGACGGCATTAATCACCTATCTGAATGAGCCCTTAGATGTATTAAACCAGTGGTTCTCAACCTTCCTAATGCCGCGACCCTTTAATACAGTTCCTCATGTTGTGGTGACCCTCAACCATAAAATTATTTTCGTTGCTACTTCATAACTGTAATTTTGCAGTGGGAGGAGTAGTGCCACATCAGGAGTGAGAGGAGTAGTGCCACATCATTGGTGTCAGTGGGAGGAGTAGTGCCACATCATCAGTGAGAGGAGTAGTGCCACATCATTGGTGTCAGTGAGAGGAGTAGTGGGAGGGAGTGCCACATCATTGGTGTCAGTGAGAGGAGTAGTGCCCACATCACTGAGGTCAATGGGAGGAATAGTGTCCCATCATTGGCATCAGTGGAAGGAATAGTGCCCCATCATTGGTGTCAGTGTGGAAGGAATAGTGCCCCATCATTGGTGTCAGTGTGGAAGGAATAGTGCCCCATCATTGGTGTCAGTGTGGGAGGAATAGTGCCCCATCATTGGTCAGTGTGGGAGGTCATAGTGCCCCATCATTGGTGTCAGTGGAGGAATAGTGCCCCATCATTGATACTAGTGTGGGGGGGGAATTGTGCCCCATCATTGGTGTCAGTGGGGGGGGGGGGGTAGTGCCCCATCGTTGGTGTCAGTGGGGGGAGGAATAGTGCCCCCCCCCCCCAAAAAAAAAAAAAAATTCAAACGTGTACTGAAAATAAAAAAATTTCATGCAAAATTCTACTAATATCTGGTGAGAGCAAGAAACAAGAAAGGGTTAATCAACATAAAGAAGCTGCTCAGCAAATAGGATTTCATCAATTTTTAAATATCTACTTCTGAATATTATGACACGCAACTGATGTTTGACTAGAAGGAAGTAAAAGTAATTTTCCATCTTCTAAGATTAACAACCATCCATCAAAGGAAATACGGAATAAAGAGGATATTTTTTTTTGAAGCGAGATCTTCACACTGAAATATCAGAAAAACAGATCATTGTCTATATCTGTACGAGCCGTTCTTCTATTCCTGGACTGTGGCTCTGCGTTTATAGAGACGATTATTGCCTGTAGGCTCAATGTTATCTCTTTTTCATTACAAAGCCGATGTACAATGCTTGCCAGCAGCATGCAGAACAGTTGGCATCACTGCCAATGCTCAAGCTTTGTTATCAGTTTGAAGTCATTACTTACAGCTACCACCTTAGATACACCCAAAGGCTGGGCAAATGATTCAGGGTCCTTCTTTTCATGAGAATTCTACAGAAAACAAAAAGATAAAAAGTGAGATTATAAACAATTATGCAGTGTATACCTGGATCATTCATGCTAAGCAGTCTTGGCTTATGAACACGGGTAAATGTCTTACTTGAAGCAGAACTTTGAGATTGCCAAGACAATGAAATATGCCACACCTAGCAGACACAGAAAATAATGCTCGTTTTCCCAGGAGATGATTTAACACAGAGGAAAATGTACAGTTCAGGCTGTGAGGACCGGTCCCATAAAGCTGCTCTTATTGCTGGTCTTCCAACCAGGTGTTTCATTGCCTCTTTTCTCATCATCATCATGCACAATGAAGAACCAGCAGATACCACCGATTCTACATTGTACATGATGATGTAGAGCAGTGGTTCTCAACCTGTGGGTCGCGACCCCTTTGGGGGTCGAACGACCCTTTCACAGGGGTCGCCTAAGACCATCAGAAAACACATATTTCTGATGTGTAAAGAGCAGCTACTGTGCTGAAAGCAGCTACTGTGTTGAAAGCAGCTACTGTGCTGAAAGCAGCAGTATTGAAGGTAAAACGACACTTCATGAATTATAATTACTGGGTAAATAATTTTATGGTTGGGGGTCACCACAACATGAGGAACTGTATTAAAGGGTCGCGGCATTAGGAAGCTTGAGAACCACTGATGTAGAGGGCCTGTCCATATTTCAGGGCTGGAGAGCGGAGGCATGAAAGCTGGCTGCTGTGGGACTGATGTAAGGCAAGTAATCCTGTCTAAGATAATACACTAGACAAAACAGACATTATATTGTACATATGCTAAGGAAGGAGGAGGAAAACAATTACATTTTTTGGACCAGAGTTCCAAAGAAATATTGTGGTGATGAACACAATTCTATTATCCAAAACTAGTGGTGAACCGAAATGAACATTCTGGTGCCGAATTCAATAATGAAAATTCAGAATGCATGTGGCCAAAAACCGAACCCGAACTGTTTGTGTATGTGGGGGTGGGGAGGCTCCAATTTTTTTCTACTTTCATGTATATTTTGATTTTGTTTTTTAACTTATGATTGTATTGCTATCACATAGGGGACCAATAGTCCCCTATGTGATAGCATATGAGTGACAGGTCATCTTTGTAGGGGGGTAGTGTATGCAAGGAGGGGGCAGGAGAGGAGCAATGTATATAGTGAGGGAGCAGTGTATACGTAGAGGCTCCCTCACTGGCTGTCACTATATGTCAGTGCCGGTTTTTAAATGCAATTGCCAGCTTTTTTTTTTACTTCTTCACTATAGCTCAATGAGCTGTGACTTTCCCCGGAGCTTCAGGAAACTGTTTCTTTTAGCTCAGAAAGGAAACTAAAAAGGAAACTTTTTTCCTTCTCTCACCCTCTTCTCACAGGGAATCAGGCATGAGCGGGAGCCAATGGCTCCGGCTGTTGCCAATCAAATGCTGTGAGAAGGGAGCAGAGGGCAGGGCTGAGCCACACTTTGTGTGTCTATAGAGGCACACAGTGCAGCTCAGGAGCAAGCCCATAGGTGTTCCCCCATAGCAAGCAGCTTGTTATGGGGACACACCGAGAAGAGGAGGAGCCTGTAATGCTGGCAGTGGCCCAGAGAAGGAGAGGTTCGGGCTGCTCTGTGCAAAATCACTGCACAGAGCAGGTAAGTATGACATGTTTATTATTTACACTTTTTAAAAATGTTAGTATTTACAATCACTTTAAACACTTCTTTTGCCCTTAAAATTGTACCCATTTCCAAACTGTCTTGATGATCCAGTAAGTCATCATTTTATGTAACCATCCTACAAGAATGACATACCTAGCACCACACAAACCAGTTATTAGCTGTAAATCCTAAAGACTGTAAGTTATATCATATTTTCCACATGCATTATTTTCATACGCTATGAAGAAAGACAAAAAGTACCTGAAGTGACGGTATTAACAGAGGTCCAGATGACAATGCTTTCAGGGAGCTTTCTTTGAAACTCTCAGGTGTTGCTAGCTGACTTGCATTACTGGAGAACTTGGGAGCTATGGTAGTCTTGCTGATGGGCTGAGACGGTAATGAGTCAGGCTGTGGAGTCAGTTTTAACTTGTGTAGAAGATCCATGCTGGGATGAGATGAACTGGAGAAGCTGCTACTACGGATCGGCACTAAAGGTGGAATGAGGGGCTGACCATGGGGAGCGTTTACAACGTCTGATACCAACTGGCTCATAAGGGGGGACATTCGATTAACAAGTGCAATACTGGGTCCATGTGAAACAGAGGTGCTCAGGACTTCAGAGGATGAGCCAAGACTGGGACTAATACATACAGGAAATGTACTAAGTTTCTGGGAGTCCACTGAAGTTACAGGTCCTTTAGAAATAAAGGATGGTGGAAGGCAATTTGGGTGACTAAAATCACTAGCACTACAATTAAAACTTCTTGATTCCGCTTTCACTACCACCGGCTGGATAGTCGTTGGCTGCAGGATAGTGTTGTGTTCCCCTAAATCTGGTAGGAAGGGCTCGCCAACTTCAAGGTTAGTGTAAGCAAGCACTGGTGGATCTTTTGCCATCGAAGTTCCAAACAGCTCTTCAACTGTCAAGTGTTTTTGTACAGTTTGGAAAGCCTGGAAAAAAAAAAAATCCTGAATGCTATACATCCATCTACAACAACATCTTTTCTTCATTAACAGTTTTATATGAATTTTTACAATGGCTATGTTGACGGTCTGCTAAAGTGGTTGCAAACCTCAGACATGAAATATGAACAAAGCATATCCCTCTATAGTGTGTACTTGTGTCAATCCAGAGTACTAAGTGTCATTTCTGTCTGCTGCCTTGTTCCTCTGCTATCAGCATGCATCACTTCGGACCAATTTTTCTGACACCAAGAGAGAAATGGTGAAGGGGAGGACATAGCCTGTGATTGACAGCCTCAGATCTGTTCCTGTGTGATGGAGGTGTATCCCTTCCCTACAATCAGCTCCCAGAGCTCTCCTCACTGATGTAACTTCAGCTCCCCACCCCCTGCTTTTCAGAGCTAAGAGATCCTGTGTAAATTCTTCATTTTAAATGGATGTAGGGGAAACACAGCAGTAGATAAACAGGTAAACAAACAGGATTTGTTTCATCTCTGTGTATCGCCCGAGGCCAGTGGATATATGAAGCCCTTTCCAGCATTGCCACCACCATCAGGACAGGTTTAAAACCGCTTTTAAAAAATAGCAGAACAGTGATGTTCCAAAAACAAACCAAAAGAAAGGGTTTTATGTATTGTTTTCCTCCTTTTCCAAATCCTAAAGGAATGACACTGATGAGTACCCAATGACCTGATGGTGGTGGCAATGCTGAATGGAGCTTCAGCAGCAACGCTCAGCTTTTTCCTGAGTATTGTTGAAAAGAAGCGTGAATCACTCCTCTCAACCATCAAGGACCTATTTTGTGAACTGGAGTAAAACTGAGAAGATCATGTAAATGAAGAGTTATTTGTGTTTTCTTTTAGTGATGCACTGGAGAATGCAAGCGCTGAAAATGGTTTTTACCACAAAGCTGCAGTTGACTTTAAGCGGTTTTCTACTGCAAATAAAGTAGTACTAAAGTCAAAGCCATTTTCTCATTTTGAAACAACGTAAGGGAGAGTTATAACCCTTGTCAGTTTTTTCCCACCTGTGTCCAGTTGGGGAGATTTCCCTTCACTGTCTACCCCAAGTCAGTGGAAATCCCTCCAAAATTGAAGTAATCCCTTGTTGTCACCAGGGTCACCAGAACTAGTGTTCCAATTGTAAGTGTTCCCTCTATTGCTGTTCTGGGGACAACCCAAAGTTTGGGACTTTTACTTTTGAGGATAATAGTAAACAGGACAAATAGGGTGAAAGACAATAAAACCTGACAGGTGTTCCAATCCATTTCCACTCTGTGCAAAGTTATAAAAAAAAATGCTTTTAGTTAATTTAAGCAATAGAACGTGGCCTTTGCTCAACCCCAGCCTGAGCGCATCCATCTTTTTGTTTGACATGTAAACTTCTGTCTGTACTGTATAGTTTAATAGTTGATTTGTACGGATCTGTACCTTTAACTTATTACCAAATAAAGGAGTTCATGGTAACAGCATGCACTAGTATTTTATAACATCAGCATTGTAATAGAAATATAAACAAGTTATATTTGACAATCCAATCTAATCTAAACTGAAATCTCTTTTCATGTTTCATGTTGTCTGTCTGCTGACCTCTTTCCACAACTTCCTGATTCCCTGCATAGTTTGCAGCTTCTCCTCTGCTGTTTACTTTCAATGTCTAAGGACTACATATCCCATGGTACCTTGCCTCCAAGCAGTGATTCCTATACTGACTCCGCCTCCTGAAACTCCTACTCACAGCACCTCTGTAGTTCAGAAAGCAGGCTCTGTGAAAGTTGTGACACAGCAGTACCTACTCACAGACCATAGTCAATATATGTCACAGAATTCAAGGAAGTAAATGCGTGGGGATCTTCACAAAGTTTACAAACTGTAATATCATTCAGATTAATAGGAGGTTAGAAATAATGGCAATACAATGGGGTTCATTTACTATAACTGGAAAGTGCAAAATCTGATGCAGCTGTACATGGTAGCCAATCAACTTCTAACATCAGCTTGTTCAATTAAGCTTTGACAAAAAAAAAACCTCAAAAAACTTGGAAGCAGGATGTTTTCTTGGTAGAGTTGCACCAGATTTCGCACTCTACAGTTTTAGTAAATCAATTCCCATGTAATGAATATATGATATAACATTTTTATGAGTTTCTGAAATGGTTGCTAATATACATATTAGCTGATCTCCCTCCCCTTTTTAAGATACAAGATTCAGGGAGATCTGGGGCTCTCCCCGCCATTGCATAATCATGACAGGATCCATAAATTTTTATCAGCTTCCATAAATCTTATTGGTTGATGAAAGAAAGACTTTCATATTCCCAATTCAGATCTTTCCATGCCATTAACGTTTTGCATATGCATCACCATAGGGACCCTATAAAACAGTTGTCTTCACAAAATGTTCTGTTTAATACCATTACATTGAAGATGTGCTACAATGTACATTCTTCCTGCATCTTACATGTCACAAGAATCCGGGTTCTGGTAGCCATAACAGCACACACCGATTGCCAAAAAAAATAAAAAGGATTACATAAGTGGCTAAATGGTTAGCACTTCTGCCTGGCAGTACTAGGGATGTTGGTTCGAATCCCAACCACGGCACCACCTGCCTGGAGTTTGCATGTTCCCCCCGTGCCTGCATGGGTTTCCTCCGGGTACTCCGGTGTCCTCCCACACTCCAAAGACATGCTGGTAGGTTCATTGGACCCTGTCTAAATTGGCCCTAGTATGTGTATGTATGAATGTGAGTTAGGGACCTTAGATTGTACAACCCTTGAGGATCAGGGACTGATGTGAATGTAATAAAATACATATACATTATTATTATTATTATTATACAGTATTTATAAAGCGCCAATAGTTCGCTCAGCACGCTGTACATTACAAAGGGGGACAGAACATGTGACAGAACAATACCAATACAATGCAAAACATGAGGGGATCGAGGGCCCTGCTCTTTCGAGCTTACAATCTAGGAGGGAGGGGATGGTGGCACAGGAGGAGATAGCTGTGGGGGATGGAGTGGTAGGAAGAGTGGAGGAGGTCGGCAAGTTAGCAGGGGGTGGGGTAGGCTTCCCTGAAGAGATGGGTTTTCAGGGTGCGCCTAAAGGAGAGGAGAGTAGGTGATAATCTGATGGGTTAGGGCAGGGAGTTCCAGAGGATGGGTGACACCCTGGAGAAGTCCTGGAGGCGGGCATGGGAGGAGGAGACCAGGGAACTAGAGAGAAGGAGGTCTTGTGAGGAGCGGAGTGTGCTGCTGGGCGGTACTTGGATATTAGGTCAACGATTAGGTCAATGACAATGTAGTCGGGGCAGTGTGGTGGACGGCTTTGTACGTCAGCGTTCGGATTTTGAATATGATCCGTTGTGCAATCGGAAACCAGTGGAGGGATTGGCAGAAGGGGGGTGGCGGAAACGGAGCAGTTGGAAAGGTGAATGAGTCTGGCAGCCGTATTCAGGATCGACTGAATATATATATGTGTGTATATATGTATGTGTGTGTGTGTGTGTGTGTACACATGTTCTGCGTAAATTGAGGGCGCTATATAAGTACCTGTAATAAATAAATGCTCACACTAACAGAGCAACAAACTTCAGATTGTATGTCATCCCCATCTGATCCAGTAGATGGCAGTATTACACAACACATTGCGCACAGTTGTATTTTTTCCCCAAATAGCTCACTGACAGCAATTCAATGATAAAGGAGAAAAGGATCTCATAAAATAGTAATTGTTCACCTTGATAAACCGGTTATTGTTTGCAAAATGAGAGAGGCACAAGGCGAAAACATGTACATTCTTTAAGCTTGTCCATACAGATGGCCCCTGCTCTTATTCTCAGTGATCTGTGCAAAAGTACAGTAATCAAACTGTGGCGGGCATATGGTAAGACCACACACAATTAGGTAGTAAGTACAGCAATACAACACGAAGTGCTGACCACTGACTGTTATAATTGCAGCTGTCCAATTAAACAAATATGATCCTGTAAAGCAAAAATAGAGGAACGATAAAAAAAAAAAAAATTAACTGGCTGTCAGGGGAGTCCCCTCTGGCACCAATATGTGATAGGGGCCTGCTGGCTTTCCCATAACACTGCTGTATTTAGTTGTCATCCTGGACTAACAAATTATGCTGAACTCTACTGTAGGAAAAGCTATGTAACAGAACAGCAAATATAACCAATTATAATAAAATATATTGTTTTCTTACTGAACACATAATTTGAGTCATTATTTCCATGGTCATTGATAATTTACATTATTTATATTTTATAATATATAAAGTATATGTGAGAAATGTCCCCAATTCTAAGAACATAAATCAGTGACAGTCTCTATAATGAACATATGGTGATATACAGCTTCAATCCCAGTGGTAAGGTAAGAATTACGCACTCACCAGAAGCGTAATTTAATTATGCAGTATGTAAATCAACAGGGGTCCCCTTCACAGGTATAGGTCCGGACTGGAACTCAGGGTAGGTTCTCCTTCAAGCTGATAAGGATATGAGCCCTCAGAGGATGTAGTAGATCCAGCTGGCCAGAGGTCCCTTTAAGGGATAGGAGGGCACAGATGCCTGCTTACAGGTGCTTCCCTCTCTGGGTCTGGTGGACTGGTAACTGGATCACAGCAGGGCTCTATAAATGATATAGCTCCTTGAACATTTTGTAAAGAACTCTTCACTGCATCAACACACTTTCCACAAGTCATCCGAACAGCAAATTCCAGCTTGCACGACACCCCAGTGTGATCCGATGGATCCATATATTTTATATGTTTATGACAAGGTTTTGTTTGGTTTCCTTGAGTGTTCAGCTTCTTGCCATAAGAGCGCTCACTTTCATTGCTATTTGTATATTTTATAATAGATTACTGTATTTGCTTAGAGGAGGAGTTTACAAAGGATGAGTGTCCGTCCATAAACAATTGCTGTGACAAGATACCAGCCACATGCGAAGTGCATTGTTTTCAGGAACCGAAT